GTTCGCTGCTGACGGGGAAAAACCATCAGAGAAGAGAAATTAATTTTTACACCTCGATTTTTTTGGAATTACAAAGAGCATCAAAGACTGTAAATATACATTTTGCTGTTGTTAGAGAGCTGAGCAGTGAGGTAACTGCATCTCCCAAAGGCTCAGAGGATGGGGGAACACTTGGGTTTTTTCCCCTCTGAGGGAGGTGGTTTGGAAAACGCGGCCACGACTTCAAGTCTCGATTCAACAAGGACGCACGAAAGATGAGATTTCTTTTCTTTTGGACTTAAAAAAAAAAAAGAATATTGGAAGTACCTTCATCACACTGTGGTGGAAAATGCCCCCGTTTTACCTGTCTCTCACTGACATTCTTGCACTCCTTGCACACGATGTGGTTGACAACGACCCCGTGGTACAGTCGGTTGATGAGGTCATGGCCTGATGTCCCCACCAGGGAGGTCTCCAGAGCACTGAACAGGATCCTGTTCAACTCCTGCACATCATGTTGCCTCATCTCCTGCCCCAGGAAACAGGGAGAAATCAAACAGGGAGAAGTCCTTAAAAACAGCATTTATCAGGTGTCACAGAGCCGCCTCTGACTGCTCACAGGTTACCCCCTGAGGAGTAAAATACCACATTTATTACTGTTCTTGAGGGGGTTATGCTGAGCAGCTCCAAGTACATCATCTACAACCCACATACGACACTTCCACTTGGGAAGAATCCCAGAATGGTTGTGGTTGGGAGGGATTTTAAAGCTCATCCCATTCCATCCCCTGCCATGGGCAGGGACACCTTCCACTAGCCCAGGTTGCTCCACTGGCCTTGGACACTTCCAGGGATGGGGAAACCACAGCTTCTCTGGGAATTCCATCCCACCCCCTCCCCACCCTCCCAGGGAAGAATTCCTTCCCAATATCCCACCTAACCCTGCCCTCTGGCAGTTTGAAGCCATTCCCCCTTGTCCTGTCACTAAACTCTAAGATGAGTGACACACTTCCACTTGGGTAAGAATCTGAGTATTTGAGGACACTGCCGGAAAACATTCCTGTAAAAACCAAGGAAAAGCTACTGGAGTTGTATCAAAGAGAACTGGCATGGAGTTTGTGTGGAGAGCCAACAACAGCTGACCCAGCCCAAGGTCATCTCCACAGCCTGAAGGATTTTAAGATGTGTCTTAAAGCTCAAACTCCAAGAAAAAAAAAAACAAACAAACTCTCCATTGAGGAAAACAAGTTTCCAAGGGCTGGAGATTCCCACCTCATGGCTGTTCCAGCCAAAGCTCTCGGTGAGGTCTGTGGTGGATGCAGCCTGTTGGTCCAAGAGCAGGAGCTGAGCAAACAACCTCTGGAGTTGCAATGGAATTATTCGAACCTGGGAGCAAAACCCACAAAACACACCCGAACGGGTCAGAAAGGGTCATTAAAATCATTTAAATCACAGTAATTTAGTACAAAATTTGTAATAAACTATCACTGTCTGGGGCTTTCATAACACGGGTGACTTGATTCACACCAAAACAGCAGTGACACTTTGTTCCCAAAAATCTACAGTCAACGGAATCATGGAATGGCTTGGGTTGGAAGGGATCTTAAAGAACATCTCATTCCATGGGCAGGGACACCTTCCACCAGCCCAGACTGCTCCAACCTGGCCTTGGACACTTCCAGGGATGGGGCAGCCACAGCTTCTCTGGGAATTCCATCCCAGACCGTCCCCACAATTCCTTCCCAATATCCCATCTATCCCTGCCCTCTGGCAGTGGGAAGCCATTCCCCCTTGTCCTGTCCCTCCATCCCTTGTCCCCAGTCCCTCTCCAGCTCTCCTGGAGCCCCTTTAGGCCCTGGAAGGGGCTCTAAGTTCTCCTTGGACCCTTCTCTTCTCCAGGTGAACCCCTCCAGCTGTCCCAGCCTGTCCCCAGAGCAGAGGGGCTCCAGCCCTGGCAGCATCTCCGTGGCCTCCTGTGGACTCATTCCAAGATATTTCCTGTGTTGGGTCACACCAGCAGAGCCATGGAACACACCTTTAGTGATAACAAAAACTCTCCTATCACCACAGTAAAAAAGAACAACTTTTCCTGATATTATTCCTGACACTAATCCCTAAAAACTCAGCTCCAACACACCCTGATTCACAGATTTCCACGTGGTGTGGAGGAACGAGATGGAAAGGAGAACATTTCAGCAGAGATGGACTCAACATCTGATTCCTGAAGGAAAACCTTCTGGCACTGGAAACTTGGAACTGTGTGAAAAATCCAGCATCACCCAACCCAAACTGCTTTTTGGGGTTAAATCTGGGCCTTCCCTCCTCCTCACAACAAGGGGCACGGGAATTGAAACAAAATCCCTCCAACTCAACCCTGAGAAGTGACTAAAAAATTCCCAATACCTTTGCATCTGGTTTCCTGCTGTCATCCAGAGTCCCAAGTTCCTCAGGTCCCAGAGAAAACAAGGCCTCTGAAATGGGAAAGAAAAACATCTCTTTAAAAAATACAACATCTGAGGAAAAGGGGACAAGGGGGGAAAGGGGACAAGGGGGGAAAAGGGACAAGGTAGAGAAAGGTGGGAGAGAAGAACTGGCAAATATCTTTTTCAGCAATTGCAGTGATGGGATTAATAAAATTACCAACTCTAGACAGCAATAACCTCATTTATTTACACCAATTGTAACTTGTAAGAAAACTCAACGTTTCTAACACCTAAATTTTGTGCCAAACTCATTTTACAGCCCAACATCCTGGAATAATTTATTGGAAGTGAACTGTTCCTGAAAATGATCTTGAGTTCCCTGTGTTTCATAAACATCCAGCAATTAAAGTCTCCCTAAAATATCACCCCAAATATGATTTTAAAGGTGGTTTTGAAGCCTTTACCTCTAAATTCCGGTGTGAAAAGCAGAGTCTGCAGCAGGGAATTGAGGTAGCAGGTCCCACCCTGATTTTTGATCCCACTGAGGTTGGTGAAATCCCTGGGAGCTGGAGGTTCACACTCTCTGGGCTTTGATGTCTTCCCTTTTCCCCAATGATTGTTGGAAATGAAGGAAAAATCCTCGTCAAATAAGTCCCCAAACATTGTGAAGGCAAAAGAGTCCTTGAAAAAAAGAAAATGCAACAGGAGTTATTTGCTATAAAAAGGGAAATTGAACCCACTCAAATCCTCAGAAATAAACCTGTGTCTGTATTGGTTTTCTATTTTATTCTAAAAATTCATGTCAGATCCATGCAAAAAAATGTAAATTAATGTAACAAAAAAGGGGGAATTAAAAGCATTTCTGTTCCCCTGGGTCTGAACAGAACCAAACACATCCCAATTCAGTTTGGGCCCTGCAAAAAGCACAAGTATAGCAAAATAAATAAGTCCTTTTAAACATCCAGGATTAAGGAGTGCTCAAGTTTCCTGCAAGGAAAAACATGGAAGGCCTCTCCAGCTCCTTCAAATCCCTCAGAAATCCATGTGTACCCATAGCCTGCCTCTGGAATTGGCCAGTTCACATGGGGAGAGTGGAACAAACAGCCAAAAATCCAGTGATGTTGTAAGGAAATTATATATTTGCTTCCAGCTGTTTGAGCCAGAAACTCAATGGTGACTAATTTTTCTTATGGAATTCTTTTTGGAAGCTTGCTCCTTTTGTTCTGGATTTGTCAGCCCACAATTCCCTTTGGTGTGTGTAGCACCAGCAGTGAGTAATCCCTGAGTTATTCTGGAGCAGGGAATAACCATTCCCTAATTTACCTTCAGCCCACGTGAAGTTTTACACACCTTGACCATATTCCACCTCTTCCAAAAGCTTCCAGAGAGTTGGATTTAACCTACAACTGGACTCGTCTCCTACCTTAATAATTAATCTTTAATTTAATCCACCTCCTCCACACCCCTTAAACTTCTCCTTTACCTCTTTGAGAGCATAAAGACTTCAAAGCTTCAAAGCTGCAATCTTTCAGTTGATTCCACAAGGAAAAAAAAAACCCAATCAATCAACATTGCCTGTTTATTTCATGGTTTAGAACATGCTGAACTCAATCCATGGTGAACACACAAAGCACCTCCGCCGTGGGAGAGCTGAGTTTTAGCCCATTTTCCTGCCTTTCAGCCAATTCTTTAAATCAGTAACTTTCCCCTGGGTCTTAATTGTTTTAAGAGCTTTCTCAGCTTAATTGCCCTGAGAGCTTCCAGTGGCAAACCTTGTGGAATGGCTTTGGAAAATCCAAAGTAGCTGCGAGCTCATCAGGCTCATCTCCTAAGACTCTCCTTATAACCAGTGGTACGTGAATGGATTTAAGGTGCCTGAGGGCAGGGTTAGATGGGATACTGGGAAGAAATCCTTCCCTGGGAGGGTGTCCAGGGAATCTGGGCATATCCCACCCCTGGATGTGCCCAAGGCCAGGTTGGAGCAACCTGGGCTAGTGAAAGGTGTGATGATCTTTAAGGTCCCTTCCCACCCAAACCATTCCATGCTCCAGCCCATTTCAGCCCTTCCCACAAAAGTGTTTAGGGAAAAGCTCTGCTGGGAACAGCTCTGCTCGCTCTGGAATGTTCTTTCAGCTCTTCATCCAAGAGAAATCCCCCTGCAAACCCTCACAGAATAAAACAACGTGGCTCGAGACACTTTCTGATGAAAACAGAGAGGGAACAAATCTCTTCTAGAGCTTTGCATCAGCTCTTATCCCAGGACTGCCTTAAAACCTCTGGAAAGGCCCTGCCTCCTGACCTTCCAGAGGCAGTTCCCAGGTTTGGAACTCCTTCCAAAGTGTCTCACAGCCCTCACTCCTTTTTCCAGTCGGGCCTGTTGCACTTCAGCCCCTGTTCTCCTGATCTGAATCTCCAGCAGCTCGTTCCCAAGAGGAATGTTCATCCAATCAGGCACAACTCCAGGAGACACCCCCACCCACCACTCCAGGGAAGCACTTCAGTGCCAAATCCTCCCTCGCTCCTTATTTCTGGAGCCTCCAAGCACTGCTGCTGGCAGCCTCCTTCCCTTGGATCCACACAGGAATACGGATTAGAAGGAATTCTGGAGGAGGTCTCTGGTCCAAAGCAGGGCCAGCTCAGAGCACACCGTGTGCCACTGCCAAGGCTGGAATAAATCCATGGCAGGAGATCCCAAACCCATGAAAGGGATCCCCAAAGATCTCCAATAAATGCAGGAAGGAGATCCCATACCCTTCTAATAAATCCATGACCAGAGAACCCAAAAATCCCTCTAGTAAATCCATGAAAGGAAATCGCTAAATCCCTCTGATAAATCCATCACAGGAGATCCCAAACCCCTCTGATAAACCCATGACAGGAGATCCCAAAATCCCTCCAATAAACCCACGACAGGGGATCCCAAACCCATGGCAGGAGGTGACAAAACCCATGAAAACCATCCCAAACCCCTCTAATAAATCCCTGAGAGGAGATCCCAAACCCCTCTGATAAATCCCTGAGAGGAGATCCAAAACACCTCTAATAAATCCCTGACAGGAGATCCAAAACCCTTTGATAAATCCATGACAAGAGATCCCAATCACATAAAAGGGATACCCAAACCCCTCGAGTAAATCCATGGCAGGAGATCCCAAATCCATGACAGGAGATCCCAAACTCCTCTGATAAATGGGATCCTCAATTCCCTCTAATAAACCCATGGCAGGAGATCCCCAAACACATAACAAGAGATCCCAAATCCATGACAGGAGATCCCAAACTCCTCTGATAAATGGGATCCTCAATTCCCTCTAATAAACCCATGGCAGGAGATCCCCAAACACACGACAGGAGGTCTCAAATACCATGAAAGGGATCCCCTAACCCCTCCAATAAACCCATGGCAGGAGATCCCAAAACAAACGAAACGGATCCCCAAACCCCTCTAATAAACCCACGACAGGAGACATCAACCCCCCCCCCAATAACCCCATGACAGGAGATCCCCCAAACCCCTCCATAACGCCATTCCGGGAGATCCCAACCCCCCGCAACAACCCCAAACCAGAAGACGCCAGAGCCCTGTACCAAGGCCGTGCCAGGAGATCCCAAAGCCCCGCACTAATGCCGCGATAGCCCCAAAAAGCGGCCCTTTCCCGTCACTGACCGTGCCCAGCGCGGCCCTACGGCCCCGGCCCCGCGGCCGCCGCCATCTTTATTGGGGGGGGCCGCGCGGGGAACGCCGGGAACCGGCGGCCGCGCGGGGCCTGCTGGGAGTTGTAGTTCTGTGATGGCCGCGGGGCACGCCGGGAGTTGTAGTTTGGTGGCGGGAGCGGGACACCGCGTGCAGGGAATCTGTGCATACCCCGTTCCCTGGAAGTGTTCAAGGACAGGATGGGGCTTGGAGCAACCTGGGAGACTGCAAGGCTTGGCATCTCCTGCCATGGGTTTTTTAGAGGGGTTTGGGATCCCCTGTCATGGATTTATCAGAGGAGTTTTGGAGTTTCCTGTCGTGGATTTATCAGAGGGGTTTGGGATCCCCTGACATGGATTTATCAGAGGAGTTTTGGGATCTCCTGTCATGGATTTATTG